TGGTCATTTTATTGCTATCCTTGAGATAAGAAGTCATAGTGGCCCTTTCACTGTGTTCCTCAAGATAGAGAGTCATAGTGGCCATTTAACTACGTTCATGGGATAGGGAGTCATAGTGGCCATTTCACTTCGTTCCTTGAGATAAGAAGTCATAGTGGCCATTTCACTGCTATCCTTGAGATAGATAGTCATAGTGTCCATTTCACTGCGTTCCTTGAGATAGGGAGTCATAGTGGCCATTTCACTGCTATCCTTGAGATAGGGAGTCATAGTGGCCATTTCACTGCATTCCTCAAGATAAGAAGTCATAGTGGCCATTTCACTGCTATCCTCGAGATAGGGAGTCATAGTGGCCATTTCACTTCGTTCCTCAATATAGGGAGTTATAGTGGCCATTTCACTGCTATCTTTGAGATAGGGAGTCATAGTGGCCATTTCACTGCGTTCCTCGAGATAAGAAGTCATAGTGGCCATTTCACTGCTATCCTCGAGATAGGGAGTCATAGTGGCCATTTCACTGCGTTCCTCAAGATAGGCAGTCATAGTGGCCATTTCCCTGCGTTCCTCAAGATAAGAAGTCATAGTGGCCATTTCACTGCTATCCTCGAGATAGGGAGTCATAGTGGCCATTTCACTGCTATCCTCGAGATAGGGAGTCATAGTGGCCATTTCACTGCATTCCTTGAGGTAAGGACTCCTTGAGATAGTCATAGTGGCCACTTAACTGCGTTCTTCAAGATAGGAAGTCATAGTGGCCATTTCACTGCTATCTTCAAAATAGATAGTCATGGTGGTCATTTTATTGCTATCCTTGAGATAAGAAGTCATAGTGGCCATTTCACTGCTATCCTTGAGATAGATAGTCATAGTGGCCATTTCACTGCGTTCCTTGAGATAGGGAGTCATAGTGGCCATTTCACTGCTATCCTCGAGATAGGGAGTCATAGTGGCCATTTCACTTCGTTCCTCAAGATAGGGAGTCATAGTGGCCATTTCACTGCTATCCTTGAGATAGGGAGTCATAGTGGCCATTTCACTGCTATCCTCGAAGATAGGGAGTCATAGTGGCCATTTCACTGCGTTCCTCAAGATAGGGAGTCATAGTGGCCATTTCCCTGCGTTCCTCAAGATAAGAAGTCATAGTGGCCATTTCACTGCTATCTTCGAGATAGGGAGTCATAGTGGCCATTTCACTGCTATCCTCGAGATAGGGAGTCATAGTGGCCATTTCACTGCATTCCTTGAGGTAAGGACTCCTTGAGATAGTCATAGTGGCCATTTCACTGCGTTCCTCAAGATAGGAAGTCATAGAGACCATTTTACTGCTATCTTCAAAATAGATAGTCATAG